ACTACTTGTCAACTCTTCTAAGGCAAGTGAACAAGGCAGTGGGAAGCAGCGAAACTACATAATGCCCCTCCTTCGGTCGTCAAAGTGCGCCAGGATTTGTGCCAGTAATGCGCACACTGTATATATCACTATCTATGCGCACACTGGCGCTGTCCGACTTGGCGGGTGTGTTGCACTTCCGCTAGTTTGTGTTGTTAGATAAGACCTGTACCCAGGGCACGCCATCGTTGTGACACAACGGGGGGTCGTATTTGGTCGTTGTTGGAGAGGGACTGCCAAAGATCTATACAACTACTATTTCCGATAGTTGAAAATGATAGTTAAATCCTGACGACCTCCCTCCCCCTCGACAGCAAAATTTTGGGGAAAAACCAGAAATTTTTCGGGAAATTTTCGGAAAAAACTGGTAGGAGGTTACTGGAAAATCTGAAAAATTTTCCTGTTTCACTTTGAGTATATACCTCCCCCCTCGACGGGAAATTCCCGACTGAAAAACTGGAATTTTTTCGGGACAATGGAAAAAGTGATGGGAAGTTGGGAAAATCTAGGGAAGAGGTAACATGGGGAGGGGGGTCGTACTTGAAGATGGAATTAGGGGTCGTATTTTTCAGGAAATGATCACAACGCAATGGCGTGCCCTGCCTGTAGACTCTAGTCAAGTGTAAACGAGGTTACTGCTATTGCATGGTTTACCGGAGTTTACAGGTTTCTACAGGATTCTATCAGGAGGCATCGAGTGGTAAATAATACACGAAATGCCCTGTCAAGCCGCACACACTACGCTCTGCATACACACATGTGCTATATTAATTCTTCCTCACGGCACGAAATTTGTTGACTTTTCTGCTATCTCTCGCCTGGATGAGCCGCTGAAGTAAAGAGCTAAAGTTCCACTAGCATTACCTGATAGGTAAAATCGCTCGAGCAGGGTAGTGCTCATTCTCTTAATTGTACCGGTCTGGCTCAAAACTGAGGGGCGAGGGTGCTGGGGCCGTCTTCTGGCAGAGTAACTCCACCTACTGGCTAGCATTCGAACCTAAAATGGTTCGCGTAGAACATGTCACCTTGTCATCCTCTGTCCGTTCTCTTTGCCTGCGCTCTCAGGGTTCTTCTCTTGCTTCTCCAGCACTGATTATCATTTTTACTTCGAAGAAGGCCTTGCTCAGAGCATATTCAAGGGTTTTGCCTGCTTTTGTACCCCTGCTAATTCAACTAGCGTTCCGAGCGAGAATTTAGCGAACTACTGAATTCTCGTTCGGACTCGATTGCTCACGATTTACAGTGCATTCGTGCTTTGCGTCAGCGTTTTGAGCGATTAGGTATCAGGGCACGCCATTAGTTGAGGATTTTGGTCGAGTCCGTACGACCCCCCCCCTTTTTTTTATTAGGGGGTTGGTACGAACTCCCTCTCGTTCCCTCCTCATCGAGCTGTCGAGCGGGAGGGGTCTATATAGTACATAAGAAACGGGAAAAGCCGCGAGGAGAATACGACCGCACGCCTACCATTTCTTAGATTTTTTTGGGGGGGGGGGGGGAGGGGTATAAAGTACACATGAAACAGGAAAAATCACGAGAAGTCAGGCAACCTTCTTCAGAAGGTCGGAAGGGAAATACGACCCCCTCCCCTCCATCCCAACATCGAACAACTACGACCTCCCCCTTTACAACGTCCGTGAAACAAGAAAAATCAACTATCAAAATAAATTTTTCTCAGCCCAAATACGACCCTCTCTTCCAGCGACCAAATACGACCTCCTCCCGTTGGGGAATCCCAGCGACGATATGCCGTGCTAGGGAAATATGGGTAGCGATTCAGCGTTTTGGGCGTGTGTTGGCGGCGTGTAAGGCGTTAAATCGATACCTATACTTTCCATAGTCATAGTCACTCAGAACGCTGCGTTGATTCCTATGGTTTCCTAATTATCCAAAACGCCTAAAGCGCTGACGCAAAAAAATGAGCGCACTCTTCCACTTTGTGAAATTGTCTCTAGGCCTTCAGTTGTTGTGGAGCGAGTACAAGGGATACGAATTATTTGTTCAGGGCATTGAAGCAAGTATGAACGAGGGGCGAGTACGCTCTGATGCCTTAGCAGCCGATAACGGAAGGTTAGCGGAGAAGTTAAAAGAGCTCGGGGAAGAATACGAGTCCCGAATGAATGCCATCCAACTACAGGTAAGAGTCTCTGGTAGACAACTTTTGGTTCAGCGAAGTTGTCAAATTTCAGTACAAAGAGAAAGACAACTACTGGCAAGAGTATAACAAGGCCAAAGACATCGAAATCAAACTTCTCAAAACCAAGCTCGAAGCTGCTGAAATTCTTGCGCAGGTTGTTAAGCTCATTTTTTGCTAGTATCCCGGCGATCATTATTTAATTTTTGTTGCAGAAATCTGCTCTGGAAAAAGAAGAGTTGACAAGAACGTTTGTTGAGGGCACGGCTCGAATAGGAGGCGCTTTAGAGAATGAAAAAGCTCTTCGAGAAGAGGTGAGTAGCATTTTCAAGCCTCTCGAATAGCATACAGGCTAAGAATTAGTGAATGATTTATGTAGAACGATGTGCGGCGCAGTATGACCTGGCGGGCCCACCAAAGGGTACCCAGCGAGGTTTGCACAGGCCCCCTTGTGGTAACCTGTAAATTCCTGTAATAAGAGTGACTCACTTGTACCACTTTGCAGTTTCCTTAGAGTTTACAAATGTTCACTTGTTAGTTAACATGTACTAATTAGAGGAACAAGCGAATGTGCAAAATGTCCCCTTCAAGTCAAAATAGTGCCCGATGTCCTCTCTCTTTGGAGGGTTGCTTCAGTGCCCTTTTCAGGGCCATCTTTTTAGTACGTTAGGAATGTTAGTAGGAGCGCTG